TAATATTATGCGGGCATTGTATAATAATAGTTATTTACTTGTGGTGATGATACACAAATAGTTAACCAGAGTGGAAGTGATAGAACAGGCTTCTATCTTCAAGGCCGTTTCTAAAATATAACATATGCAATCTAAGGCCAATAATTGACCACTGTGAGATGTTTATGTAATATTATATTTATCTATTTCATAAGACACGATGGTCTGGTAATGGTAATTTTTTTGTAGATGACCTGTTTTTACTTTGTGCTTTCCATGTGCAAAAAAATAAACGGATTTTTACTTATTTTCGCTATTTGCTCGACATTTGTTCTGATTGGTCGAGGCTGATGACATCACATGTCATCACCTATATAAATCATTAATGAGATTTTATCTGATGAGCAAACGTTTTTTAAGTCGCTTTTTCATCAGCCACGATCAATCAGAACAAATGCCGGATTATAACGTCATGAATCTCGATCAATCAGAACAAATGCCGGATTATAACATCATGAGCCTCGACCAATCAGAACAAATGCCGGAAAAAAATAGTGGTAGAAGTAAAGAACCCTGACAGGACAAAATTATAAACACTCTTTTTCCACTTAGTGATGATGTAGGAAAGGTACACACGACAATGTCGCCTACACTCAAGCTAGACTTGTCTGATACACCATGAAATTTACGAATCACCCCAGAGCCTGGTTTGCCTGTTCCTGGCGTCATACATCACACACAAGTTGATACAGAAGGCGTGTATCTCCCTCTATGGTCTGGATATTTGTGAGCCAGTTACCAAAAGCTGCTGGTGACACACTACTACTACTACTACTTTGCTGTCACTCGGAATCGAGTATGATGATCATGCAGTTATGAGATAATGATATGTGTTATTAAGGATGTCACCTTCATTGGTGAGCTCTGAGGTGACTACAGAGGCCGATACGGGACCGGCGGGGTCGTCTTTCCTTAGATTTATTGAGCATCCTAATAAATCTCTTAAGGGGGGAGATGTTACGTGCAACGTATCTTTTGATAGAACTACCCTTAACAACCAATTACTAAATGAGCTGTACGCCCCTGCCGGACGAACTGTGACTGAGTATATATTCATGAGATATATTGTATGATAATTATTACAAAGCTTGATATAGAATATGCTTGAGGATCCGACTGGTACCTGACCATCGACCCGTGTTTGGCTGCTGCACGACCACTGCTCCATCCCTGTTACTCGATCTCCCAACTTGATGTTCCGGACCTCGAATCATGGATCATGGATACATTGGATGGCCCATAGCTTGGGCTCATGGTTAGGCTCTCCGGAGCTCCGTATCTGTGTTGTTCAGATCTCGAACGGAGTTGTAATGAAGCGGTGGACCAGGGAGGAGGGCAGAGCATTCCTGGACGGACGAGGGTGTGTAGTTGGTGGTCGGTGGCAGGGCTGCCGCTTTGAGGAATAGCGTCTGCGAACGAGGAAAACATATGACAGTTGGTGACGTCATGAGGAGAGGCCGTCCACACACTACGTCACCGAGACGCCATGAGAAATATATTCCTCATTGTTCTAGAAATGCACATAAAATGTAAAGAACTTAATAATTTTTTCTTCAGTAATATATATGACTTTTTTTTATCAACTCCTTTAGTATATATCAACAGATAATGTATAGTATAAATGGATTGTGGATAATAAATGACGTGGAAAGTCAAAATGGGACCCTCGATTGCTGTGGAAACTCCACAGAACTCCACCTATAAGCCGGTAAGGATATATTTATTTATATCATTGGCATGTAATTAATCACAGCTTTCATCACCTATGTAGCAGTTACTTATACCATAACCGTTTTATTTTATCAGTGTATCAACAGAAATGATTAGATAAATGAAATCTTTACACTCTGTTCATTTGTTGCTTTTATTAAACAAAAGGGCCAAATATACATTATTTTCCTGTTCACTTATAAAGGACTATGCAAGTAACCTAGAACGATCATGGCAATTATTCACTGATTTAGTTATTCTTGGGTTTGCAGGGGAGACTACACAAAAGTTGATCAAATCTCCTATTGCAGGTGGTGATGGCAGCAAAGCGGAGCTTCAGAGATGCATGGCTGAACAATGAAGATTTCCAGCCAAGGTTGTCCCGTGTTGAGGACAATCCATCTAGGGCCTTTTGCAAAATATGCAACAGGGAAGTGAGTGCAGAGTTGACAGCCATCAAACGTCACAAAACAACAAAGATGCATGCAGTTTATGAGGCCTCAGAACAACAGGAGGTCCAGCAGGAGAGGATTCCGGTCCACCATGGCAACTATGCAGCAAATGGAGTAGCCGTAGCAACAATTCTTCTTGCTTGCTTTATAGCCGAGCACAACTTACCATTTACCACTGCAGATCATTTAGTAGTCCTCATTATAACCGCCAATCAGGGCGGTTAAAGGAATATTCAGACTCGTCACGTCAAACTCGAACATTATAATTTGGTCAAACTTGTTGAATGCAATTCATTTAGTATTTAAAATAAGTCATACATAGGCACTCTTACATAAATGCTTAATCCAATATATATTTACATAACAATCATGGCTATGTAATTAGTCTAATCTAAACACTTACAATGAGTACTCAATTTGCCATATTTCTATATTGTCACACTGATAAATGATGCAATGGACACAGTCTACCTGTGTACACAATAAGTACTAGTTAAACTTACGTGTTGAAAGTCTAGAGAGAAGCAAGGGTAGGTGTTGACTCTAAGATATGGGTAGCTATACTGAAATGCCCACCCTATAGCCTGGCTCCCTGGCTGGTCAGCTATGGCTGAGTCAGGTGATTATAATTATACGTAAACAAACTCCCTTCACACCCTCCAACCTCCTTCTGGGCCTCTCATCTCCACCATCTTTGTACTCTACATACTGTATACGGGCAGGCACACCCAATAAACATGACATGACTTACCGCCTAACATAATGTTTGTTTATGTGTCATCCTACTCATTGCTGCTTGCGGTAACACCCACTCCGTTGAGCGTTGACGCTCAAAACCAAGTCAGGACTTTGATACTTAATGCTTTGTCGCATTCTTGTGACCATGCTGCCCTAAGGCTGATGGTATTCAACTTTAATTTTGTCACGTTCTTGTGACTATGCTGCCCTCAGGCTGGTGGTGTTCAACTTTAATTTTTTTTTTGTCACGTTCTTGTGACCAGGCTGCCCTCAGGCTGGTGGTATTCAACTTTAATTTTGTCACGTTCTTGTGACCATGCTGCCCTCAGGCGGGTGGTATTCAACTTTAATTTTGTCACGTTCTTGTGACTGTCGCTGCCCTCAGGCTATCAGTACTTATCAGCTCCTTAGGACATCTCGGTCCTTTGACGTTCGGACATCACCATCTTCATGTGTGGATACCCAATTCATTCTCCTGGCCGACTCCGTCAGCCCTTTCCATTGCTCCCTCCAACAAGCATAATTTTGTGACAGGTTGCAGCATTGTGGACGTCGTCGTCTTAACCACTGCCTGTGGTTAAGACGGTGCCATTTGTTGCATGGACTATTTGCTTCTGCTATAATGATTAGGTCACCAGGGCGAAAGTTACGCCGTGGTCTGAAATGCACTTGTCGAGTTCTGAGTTGAGGGAGGTACTCCGTCAGCCAGCGCTTCCAAAATTGATCTGCAAGGTACTGGACATGCTTCCACCTTCTCTTGTATGATTTGCCTATTGACCTTCCACCTAAGGGAAGATTACCCTATTGACTTAAGTGCAAAAGATCAGCAGGCGTGAGAGCCTTTGGTTCATTTGGAGTGTTTGGAACCGGGGTGATTGGCCTCTCGTTAACTATGGCTTCCACTTCACAGAACAGTGTTTGCAGACGTTCATCGTCTAAAACTTGTGAGCCCACAATCTCCTGCAGAACCTTCTTTACTGTGCGAATCTGCCTTTCCCATACTCCCCCCATGTATGGGGCAGCTTTTGGATTGAAGACCCAGTCAATATCTGCTTTCAGTAAGGCACCTCTGAGTCTGTCATCTTGCTCCCAACTTTTCACAGCCAGTTTGAGCTCTTTGGCTGCCCGTACCATGTTTGTCCCATTATCCGACCTAATACGCTCTGGTGTGCCTCTGCGTCGTGAGAACCTTGTTATTGCGTTAAGGAAGGCATCTGCGTCTAATGAGGCCAAGACTTCTAGATGAACAGCCCTAATAGTTAGACATGTAAGCATACATCCCCAGCGCTTGACCTGTTTCTTCCCTACCTTGATAATGAATGGACCAAAACAGTCCGTTCCAGTGTAAGCAAATGGAGCCTTTCCAGGAGTGACACGATCTATTGGTAAGTCAGCTTGCCTTTGATGCCGACTTCTCCAGTTGTTCCGTCAGCACACTACACAGCGTCGTATGATTCTACCAAGCAAGCGTCTGCCCTGGGGAATCCAATACCTTTGCCTCACCACGCTCCTCACCACTTCGCCCAAGAAGGGTTCCTTTAATTCTTCCCTTTGATCTGAGCAACGTCCGCTCGTCCAAGTAAGGTTCCAGTTTATATAGCTTATTGTCCTTCGGCAGCTCACCCTTTATGACAGTTTGGATTTCCTTCTCATAAGCTTCTTTCTGCACCAATTTTATAATTGTCTGCTCAGCCGACTGTAGTTCCTCGGTGCTTTGCCTCTTCAGTTTGAGGCGCAGGTCTGCGGTCCTTGTACTGGACCCAAGCCACCAAATGAACCTTTTAATCCATGCCACCCCTTTCACCAAGCGGTACCATGATGAGTACCTTAGCCACAGTTTGGCGAGGGATCACTTTGACTGCTCACTCACTGCCAGAACAACTACAGATCTCTGGTGTACTTCTCGTTTCACCTCCAGTAAGTCGTTCAGAACTGCTGGCAGTTCCTTTCCCTTTGGCCACCGTTCTTCAACACAGAGTAGAAAGTCAGGACCTCGTATCCACCGAGATCCTGCAACCAGGTCCAGGACAGGTAATCCCCTAGTTGCATCATCTGCTGGGTTCAGCGATGTCTCCACTGGTCAGTTCTTGACAGCTCTTGTGTGACTGCTATCCTGTTGGCTACAAACGTTTGAAATCGTCTGCTCGAATTGGCGATGTACTGCAAGACTAGCATGCTATCCGTCCAAAAATAAGATTCGTGTATGGTCATGGTCATTTCTCGGCTAATCGTTCGATCAGCGTTCACTGCCAGGACAGCTGCACAAAGTTCCAGCCTTGGTATTGTCAGTTGCTTGAGTGGGGCCAGCTTGGCCCGTCCGTACACGAAAGAGCACTGGATACTTCCGCCAGAGTCTACCATTCTCAGATAGGTCACCGCACCGTAAGCAGCCTGCGATGCATCGCAGAAGGTGTGCAACTGTGCTGAGATGATTTCTTTAGCACATGCTGTTTTTAGGCATCTGGGTACACTTAATTTCCCTAGGTGGGCCAGTTCTCCTAGCCAGGTGCTCCAGGTCGTGTGATTAACAGCCGACAAAGTTTCGTCCCACCCTAATCGACGCCTGCATTCACACTGAAATAATATTTTAGCCCTGATAATGAATGGGGCCACGAACCCCAGTGGGTCATAAATAGAACTGACTAGGCTTAATACTCCTCTCCTGGTCGCTGGTCTTGAGTTTGGTTGCACCTTGATGGCGAGCTGATCACCTCCCAGGAGCCACCTAACCCCCAGGGCTCGCTCCATTGGCAATTTGTCTTGCCTCAGATCAATTTCCTTCCGTGCATTTTGCCTCTCCTCCGGTGGGATGGTAGCCAACACTCCTTTGTGATTACTGGCCCACTTAGTTAACCGAAATCCTCCACACGCCAACAGTCTTCGAAGCTGACACGCTAACATTGATGCTTCATTTGATGAGTCCAGCGACATGAGCAGGTCGTCAACGTAGAAGTTGACTTCCACTTGCGCCACCATGTCGGGAAACTCGGATCTGTGGTCTTGAAATGTGCGCCGGAGAGCGTAAGTTGCACATGAAGGGCTCCACACCCCACCAAAGATGTGCACCTTCATCCTGTAAGTTACTGGCTCTCTACTCAGGTCCCCATTCTCCCACCAGAGGAATCTTAACGCATCTCGATGTTCTAGCGCTACATGGATTTGATGGTACATAGCCTCCACATCTGCCATGATGGCTGTAGTTCCTTGGCGAAACCTAAACAGGACTCCAAGTAATTTGTTGTTGAAGTCTGGACCTTGTAGTACCTGGTCGTTCAGCGATGTCCTCTTGTGTTTGGCTGCACAGTCAAAAACTATGCGTACTTTGTTTGGCTTATTTGGGTTCAACACCGGGTGATGAGGCAGATACCAGACCAGTCCAGTATCTGACTCCAACTGGCACTTAGGCACTGATTCAGCATATCCTTCAGCAAGCAGTTTATTTATTTCCTCTACGTATCCTTGTCGCAGCCGTGCGTCCTTGGATAGTCTCCTTCGAAGCCCATCTAGTCGACGCTCCGCCACGGCCTTGTTGTTTGGGAGTTCCGTGTTCTCATTACGGAACGGTATGGGAAATTGGTAATGACCATTAGTTTTGATGCCTGTCTCTGACCATAGCCTCAACACTCTTTTGTCCTCAAGTGAATGAGCTGCTGACTGCAAGGCTCCTGTGTCCCCACTTTCCAGCTCCCAAAAAAGCTTAACCTGTCTTTCCAGACGGGTTTCAGGACTCACGACAGTTTCGGTCATCAGGCATCCTGACATGCAAACTCCTTGTGTGTCTTGGTGCCCCACCGGTCCATTTACTGTCCAACCCAGTCGCGTTTTTATGGCGAATGGCATTCCATCCCTTCCTGCTCTGACCTCCAAGGGTACCAGGGCCTGTGGCACATCTTGTCCTATCAGAATTTCTATGCTGTTGCTCTGCAATTCTGGTAATTCCACACATCGCAGATAGGTTCACCTTGAGACATCACTTGTGTTCGCTACGGAGTTGTGCAGCGTTGTGGGGAAATTTTGTATAAAGAGTACTTTCGGGATAAGTATGGTTCTGCCTCGTTTCATTCCTGCGCCAACCACTTCTAGATCTACCTCCGCTGACTCGAGTATCATCTCTTGGACAAGTGTACCCATGATTACCAGGGTAGGTGTCCCTTTCACCCTTAGTTTCTGTGCCAGATCTTTGGTGCAATACGACCTGTCGCGTTCTGAGTCCAAGAGAGATAAAGTTCTGGTGTGATTTCGTTGGTGCGAGTCCTTTCCCCGAATCTTCACACTCACTATGGGCAGTACAATCTTGGCATTTTTCGTCGATAGTCAGATGTCGCTTTCGCAGCTGTATGGGTTTTCATGGCCGTCCTTTGTCCCTGTAGCATAGACATGGCCTCTTTTTCCGGCCATGTACGAACTGTCGTTGGCTTTCTGGGCCATGCCACCATCAGAGGTGCCTGCCATTGACTCCTGCTTTACGCCACCCTTGCGTGTGTTTGACATACTTGCAGTGAGTGCCTCCCTTCGTTCTTGATGCAACAGTTTAGAATGCTTCTCTTTGCACCCATCAGTGCCACACCTGAAGCGTGACCAACACTCAGCAACAAGGTGGCCCACTTTCAGACACAAGAAACAGCAACGTAATCTTTTTACCCTCTCTAACCTCTCCCTCACTGACATGCTCCAGAATTTGTCGCACCCTGCTAATCCATGTGCTCTGGAACACACTGGGCACGAGCCTTTTCCAGAGCTTGTTTCTCCTTCATTGCCTTTCGCTTCACAGATAGTCACTAGGCCCACGGCACGTTTGCTTGATCCTTCTGGTCTTTTCTTAGTTCCTTCTTGACTGTCCTTGCTTGATAGCAGAGCCATGTCATCCATCGTCACCGCTTTCTCCTCCAAATATAGCGCTAACCACTTCACCAGCCTTGTTCTGTGTCCTGTCGACTTCTGACAATTCCGTACATCATCCACACAGCGTTCCCTCAATTTGGGAGGGAGCTTAAACACCAGCGTTCTGAAGGCCTGCCTTGATTCAAGTTCAGACATCAAGTTCAGATTCTCCAGATGGCTTACTGCACCCCATAGCTGAGATGCCAGTTTTCCCAGCCCTTCGTCGTCGAACGCCCCGACTGAGCGAGCGTCTATGAGCCTTTTCACCAGCTGGTCCGCATATGCATACTTATCTCCAAACCTTGTCTCCAGGATATTGATTGCTTTGTTGTAGGCTCTGTCTGGCTCTAGATAGTCGCATCCCATGATTGCTTAATGTAACTCTTCTCCTTCACAAGCATCCATGAGCAGTTGGTGCTTGTACTTCTCTGGCACGGCCGCATTTGTCATGTATCGACGGAAGGCATGCATAAAGGTCCAAAACTCCGCCCGCCCTTGTCCTTTAAATTTGGGAAGGGTGGCTTGCTGCATGCGCATCGTAGCCACTAACTCTCTTATTTCTTCACCCTTCCCTGATTCTCCCTGTGGATGCATAATTGTGACTTGAGGCGCTTTGCTTGCAAGCATTGGCGGTAAAGACGATGCCATTTTCTCGACATTGACCGATGCCTGTTGCTGGGTTTCTTCCCGTACTATTGGCTTCTCATAATTGCTGGAGTTCTTTGTCGAAGGCTGTGAGCTGTCACTTCCTCGTGTTAGTGCTGATGTCTCTTGACCCGCCACCATTCCAGTGTGCATCGTTTTCATCCACCCTGCCTTAAGCTCTCGCAGGGCTCGGTTTACTTCATCCGACGCTGCCTCAGCTCTGGCCACTGCTTGTTGGTAATCCAATTCCCTACTGTGACCTTCCCGTAGATCTCCTGTTATTGCAAGCTCATTTCCTGTTTCACCACTCTCTGATTGTACTTCGGCGGGCGGATCCATTGTCATTAGGTCAAAATGTTTGCTTCTATCTAGGTCCGACTCTCCTTCCATGTCATCAATATACCCAATCTCCGACATCTTGCTTATTCAGGTAATTTGAATTGCGTTCGTTTCCACCACTCTTAAGTCAGGGCACGTTCGTGTGCCTTGTCTCACTAAAATTATCAGGGCACGTTCGTGTGCCTTGACTTGTACTCATTTATCAGGGCACGTTCGTGTGCCTCGTCTTAGAGTCGCACCTGATATCATTACAAACTTTACATTGATATTTGGGTTATTTACAAAGCAATACCACTTCAGTCAACTATGACTGCTAATTGTGTTCTGCACTTACGTCAGACAACAATAATGACATGTGTTTTCATTCTCATATGCACTACACTAGGAGTGATGAAGATCACCCAGACAAGACTATTTTCTGGACTAACAAGGTTTAACTATTATCGATGTGAGAAGTATACGGACGTTGCACTGCACTTCTCGCCACTGGATACGCACACATACACACCCACACGCACGCACTCTTCCCTCGAGTGACGCGTATTGGTGAGCCAAGCTACACTAAGAGTGGCTGAGCTCACTCTGACAACATTATTTTCTTCAATAACAAAAGGTTAAAATATTATCGCCACTATAAATCTACGGGCGTTGCACTGTAATCCGTGGCATTGGGAACACACGCGCATCCCTCCAGTGGGTTCAGTTGAGTTGACCTTGGTTACTCTGCTGCCCGCACGTTCATTCAAGCTAACTCACTGCTACACAGTAGACATCCACGTTTTGACTATAACCGCCAATCAGGGCGGTTAAAGGAATATTCAGACTCGTCACGTCAAACTCGAACATTATAATTCGGTCAAACCTGTTGAATACAATTCATTTAGTATTTCAAATAAGTCATACATAGGCACTCCTACATAAATGTTTAATCCAATATATATTTACATAACAATCATGGCTATGTAATTAGTCTAATCTTAACACTTACAATGAGTACTCAATTTGCCATATTTCTATATTGTCACACTGATAAATGATGCAATGGACACAGTCTACCTGTGTACACAATAAGTACTAGTTAAACTTACGTGTTGAAAGTCTAGAGAGAAGCTAGGGTGGGTGTTGACTCTAAGATATGGGTAGCTATACTGAAATGCCCACCCTATAGCCTGGCACCTTGGCTGGTCAGCTATGGCTGAGTCAGGTTATTATAATTATACATAAACAAACTCCCTTCACACGCTCCAACCTCCTTCTGGGCCTCTCATGTCCACCATCTTCGTACTCTACATACTGTATACGGGCAGGCACACCCAATAAACATGACATGACTTACCGCCTAACATAATGTTTGTTTATGTGTCATCCTACTCATTGCTCCTTGCGGTAACACTCATGAAGCGGATGTTTCCTGATTCTGTAATTGCTCAAGGCATGAACATGATAAGAGCACAATACACAGAGGTTGTGAGGACGTTAGGACGGTGTGTCACCGAGGATTTAGTAGATAAACTTAGAGAAAATAAATTTTCCATTATTGTTGACGAAACAACAGACATTAGTACGATGAAGCATCCTCTGTTCCTGTAAGATTTTGGGATTCACCCACAAACAGCATTAAATCTGGTTATTAGAGGTGATCAATGTATATGGTGATGAATCATCTACAGGGTCAACAGGGGAAAATTTGTATAATTTAATTGTGAAAACCTTAGAAACAACCGAATTCCACATGAGAACCTGATTGGCTTTGCTGCTGATGACTCTAGTAACATTATGGGAGAACACAATTCTGTAAGTTCGGAGGCTGCAAAGACGCTACCACGGCAGTGTGAAGACATGATCAGAATTATATACACCTATTTTTCCCATAGTGCTAAACGACAACATGAATTTAATTAATTTCAATCTTTCTGTACTGTCAAACCACACAAAGTTCTGCATTTTAATCAGACCCGCTGGTTATCATTCCACCAGGTAGTTGAAAGAGTATTAGAGCAGTGGCAGCCCCTAAAAATGTTTTTTACTTTATAAGAATCAGAGGAAAGATTGGTGGCCTTACAACAAATATCAGAGAGTCTTAGGGACCCTTCACTTTTATTGTACTACAATTTTATTAATTTCATATTGCCCAAATGTAACAAGTTAAATCTACTGTTTCAGAGAGAGTCACCGACTATACATTTGTTACACGATAGTACATGTCAACTTTACAGGAATCTTTTGGGATATTTTTGTCGTCATGAAGTTTTTAAAACGGGTAATCTTGATGCAGCTGATCCAAGAAATGAAGAAAATCACCTTCCAATAGGCCAAATATACTTGGGAGCAACAATACATGGCCTACTGCAAAGTGAACCATATAGAGAACTCCCTAATATGGTCAAGGATGTACAATTCAGATGTTGTATCTTCATGATAAACCTTTGTGTGCAATTACGTCAAAGATTTGATTTTGGCAGTAAGTTTTATGGAGGTGTTCATTTCTGTCATCAAATAGGGTATTTGATAATAAATCCAGGAAGGAGATGCTATCATTATACGACTTTGTGAAGGCGGTGCCCCGCATATACTGTACAGTGGCAGTATACAAGTTTTAGATGGTCAATGGAGAGACTTCGATGTGATTGCTATACCACCCGAGATTAAGGACAGCAGTGACATAGTGGACGTTTATACAAAACTAGGGGAACTTAAGGACGGTGTAGATGTTTCCCAATTTAAGGACCTTTGTACATTTGCTTTGCAGGTATTTTGTCTTCCAACATCCAATGCAGATGCAGAGAGACTATTTTCTAAATTGAATTTAATGAAAACAAAATCCAGAAACGCTCTGCAAACTCCCTCTATTAATTCATTAATAGCCTTGTCTGAGGCTGTGA